TTGATAACCCAATCAATTTCGCTAACGAGATAAACAAATTGCTTGATAACTTCGTCATTTTCAATCCGTTTCGCACATCGTTTTGCAGATGTTTTGATTTGCAGAGAGGCAGTTGAGTGGTCTACAGGTCTAATCAAGTTGATGTTTCTGTAATTGGTGATGATACTGATTTGCTTGTCATTTTACTGCACATGACAAAACACTTTGCATTTGACCACCTACTGTTTCTCACCACCAAAAGCTACATCTATGACATTGAGAAAATTCGAAGTGCGATTGGTAGGAGGCACGTAAACACGATAAGCTGCTGTGCCACACTTTCACTGGATCAGACACCACCAGTCGGATCCACGGAGTTGGTAAGGATCGGCTCTTCAGAACGATCGCATCCATCGATGAAAGTGTAATAGATGCTTTTTATTCGGCAAATTCTACACCAGCTACCATAAATCATGTAGGAGAACTTTTAAGGCTGCAGCTGATTTCATCATTTCGAGATCACTAGATGAAGCTAGACTTTCAGGTCTTGAACAGAAGTCGCAATCTTTAACAGCAGACATCAAGTGCGAACAGCTCTCGCCAACATCTGGGGCAGCTGAACAACATTCTTATCGTGTTTACCATCAGCTGCAGGCGTGGGATGAGAATGACCTAGATCCGATAAGCTGGGGATGGAAGATGAACAAATTGTTCAGAACAATGGGACACATGTACCAGTGACCACTCTTATGAGTACAGCTCCGAAAAAGCTCATTCAAAAAATCAGTTGCAACTGTTTAAAGTCAGGTTGTGGCAATGCTTGTTCATGCAGAAAAGCAGGAATACATTGTGGATCAACCTGCCTCAAATGTCAGGATCCAATTGCACCAATGTGCCAGCTGAGGACTCATAAGTTAGACTCTTATCTAGTATATATGGTTATATAAAGTACTACTTCGATTTCCCAATTAAATTAATGAAAATTTGTTAATTATTCGTGATATGTAATTTTAAAATATTTTGATCAAAAATAATTTGTATAATTTTTGAATATTTGTTTAATAATCTAATTAACTAATTAATTAATTATCTAATCCAAAGGTTGTCTAGTAAAAAGTTGTTCTCTTTTATATTTTGAACACATTGGTTCAATCTAGAACCTTCTACGACATTCAGAAGTCGTTTTATTAGCGGAGATTCGATGTGGTAAAAAGTGGTAAATAGTGGTTTTTCTTTACAAATTTCGAAAATTTTACAAGTCCAAAATATTGTAAGTGAAAATTCTCAAAATTTTCATAAAAATTAGTTCAATATACGTGGAATGTAATTGTGAACATTCTTTATGAAAATGTATTTTTGAAATATTTGAAAATTTATTAATTATTTAATTAATTAATTAAATAATTTATTTTTGAAAAAGTTGTTAAAGAAAAAGTTGTTCTTCTTTGTTTTCTAAACACAATGCTTTAAACTAGAATCTTCTAGGATATTCAGAACGTGACTTATTTGCGGAAAACCAAAGTGGTAAAAAGGTGGTAAAAAAGTGGTAACTGTGGATTTTCCTGAAGTCGAGGATTTTGGGAACTCTCTGGAATGATTCCTGGGACCTGTCCCGACCATATCCCGTAAAAATCGCTTTGTTGCGAATTTTGTCCGACAAAAAGACGGATTTGACTGTACTAAAATCCCAATCTCGGAATCAATGTTGAAGTGTTGACGATACTGTTTTACGGGAATTACTTGCGAGTTGGTTGATTTCTCGGAATTGGACGCAAGTTGACGATTCCATTTTATCCGTGTTATTATTATTGTGATTGATTTTCAATTGATTATTGTTTGGTTTATCAGTAGATAGGATTAGGTTTAAAGCTATCTACCCCTACAGTAAGGGTAGAGTGATAAATAATAATTTATCTGTTAGTCATAATCCAGCAATCCCGATCTCCGACCGACTTTTAAGAGGGGGGGGGGGTTCGTCCTGTTTTCTAGCCAACGTCTAACTTAAATCTCTCTCGTTCTTTAACAGTTTTGTAATGGAGGTTGGAGACTATAGGCATAGCATTTGATTGATTGTTCAAGGTATTCGCCTGCACTAGGTTCTGCAAGTCCTTAACCTAGTATAGGTGTTTTACCGATATATAGTTTTATTACATGCTCCTTGTCATCTCCAGATGCCCCTTGACACTGATGTGGGCTACCTGTCACAGTCTATTAAGTTAATGTTATTATGTTAATAATTAACATATATCCCGTAAATCCAGCATATACATCCTGTATATTAAATTTATTCTCTTTTTTTGGTATTATGTTTGTTTAACCTCAGCTGAGATTTATTTACTCTGTTTATCATTTACTGTTCTTGATGTTGTTAGTCGCTGTTAACCTGTATTGATGTTTAATCTTGTGGGGTTGAATTAAAAACAGAAAGTAAACCATCAATCATGGCCACACTTTTGGATCATCCTATTTTATTGACTTATGCTGCTTTTTGACCCCAATACGATAACACATAGTTTCTGCTACTGAGCTTTTTCCAATAATGGGGGGTCTTACTTTAAACACCGTATAGCTCCTCTCAATATTCACTGTTGAAGACGAAGAAACCACCATATTCCCCATGTAACCGGAGGAATTAGTGGAATGTTGTCCAATTCATTCTCCCTGTTCGCGGGGTTCCTCTCCCGATTCAACAGTCTTAACGACACCTTTAGTGAAGGGAAAGACAGCAACCACTCCAGGTGGTTATGAATGTGAAAATACTCGTCTTTAATTGGTTGAACATGTTTGAACACAAACTAGAAATACATTTTCTAATCAATAACAGATTAAGTTATCAAATGAGTTATTTAATGTTATATATTTTTGATTGAATGAAATAATGTTAATACCTAACAGCACACACTCACACAGCTCCAACCCGATTTACCGTGATTGCTAAATCGAGTGGTAAGCAAATTTGGGCAATTTTATCGACCGCATGCAACATTGACAATATGCATCTCAAAATAGCAATCGAGGTGACAGTTGGTATTTCTTAATTATCTCCCATTAGTCTATACAAATGACATTGTAAACTTTTAAATTGTATAATCAAAATGTACGAACTCTAAAGATTTATAATACCTGGAAATTATTTAGACCGCGTCTCAAAATGATCCCAATGATTATTTAATTTTCGTCTGAACTGTCAATTGCAGAATTCTTACGAGGAAAGTACGGACAATTATTTTCATTTTCTTAGCCTGTTCGTGATTTGTTCTGATGTAAAGATATTGCAAGCAACCTCAATAATCCATGATTCGCTGCCCCTAAATCTTTCAAAGGTGACAAAACACAATTTTAACCCCCACCAAATACAATTAAATAATTAAATACTCCGCAAAACTCGCTGGTCAATAGTCGGTAAACCCCACTATTAGATCAAAATAAATCACTTTCTCCGACGGAAACAGAAATTTAATGTTTATTTCTATGCTGGTGCTCACCCCAAATCACTTTTAGCTTATAAATACCTGAAAGAGTATTCATAAGACGTCTGTACAGACTAAGTAAAAGGCTAATATGAAGTTCATAAACGTAAAATTATGCATTTAAATATGTTTTAAAGGTAACAACTTTCATCCTTCCCTAAGCTATCTCTAAAATTATTTGTTAAATGGTAGTGTTGAAAGTATTTAAAGTTATACTTCATTACCGCACCTTACCCACATACCAATTACAACTTGCTACGAGAAAAATGTCCTTTCCTACCCCTAAAATCTAATCAGGGATTACATAAAACTATCAAATAACTCCCCCTGTAATGACCTGTTAAAGTAAAGGAACATGAATCAAGACTATTAGTTCCGTAGGGAGTGGAGGGCTTGTTGTAAGTTTTATGCTCGTACCGGCAATCATCTACATTTGATCTACGTTTGTTCCTGGTGCTTTTTGTGCCGGAGCTAAGTTATGATCTACATTTGCTCTTGTATTTTGAGGATAAGGAAGGGGAAGAGAAGGTTTTATAATGCTGATCGTCGTTACAGGTTGGTAGCCGTTAAGGCCGCTTTATAGCCGCTTTATAGCCGCTTTATAGCCGCTATAGGTGGGTTTGTGCTCTGGTCTAAGATTTATTTCCTTTTTTGTGTGCAGCTAGGAAATGAAGTTTTTACCTTAAATTCAAATGCTTTTTGTTTCCGACAAAGTAAATTTTACCCAATCATTTGATTAATTCCGTGTTCCATCGCACTTTAAAGAAATATTTTTACCGCGCTCAGCCGTAAAAAATCCAGAAATTTGAAAATGATAGGTTGAAACGAAAATATGAAATTTGGTTATAAATTTGTTTGTCAAATTTGCAATACTTTGTAAAGTAACTAATCGCGCTAAAATGAAACATTTTCTTTATTGGGACAAAGATTAATAACATTAACAATTAACAACCAAACTGCAAGCACTTAAATCATGGAATAAGTTTTAATACTAAGCTAAGTATTAAACTATTTCTATTAAAACCGATGTATATTTGTACGTTATATTTTATCTGAAAACCTGGTCAACCCCGGTTCATACCTACTTATCATACTTCCAGTGAAAGTACGATAACTTAATATTGGTAATCAGCGCTACAATTCAGATCTAATAAAGCGGATATCGCAGAACTACACGCTATCCTATAATTGATACTAAGTCATGTACCTGGTTTTCGTTGTCCCACTTTAGTATCATAAACTAAGATTTTCTATCGAGGGACGACGTTCACTACCTAGTTGGCACCGAGCTGACATGATCTGTTGATGAACATTAACAATGAGTTCAACAGTTTAACAGATGAACGCGTAATATAATTGATTTTTGTGATTCTTTATATCCAGTTCCACTGTCAAGGTCCATATACCATTTCTTTTTTCTCTGTCCAGACGTGTTGTCTAATGTCTATGTAAAAATATTTATGTAAAAATCAAGCAGACGTTAACGATACGCCTCATTTTAGCATTATACTTATTCGAGTTAAAACTGAAAATTAACTGAACATTTTTCAGGGCGCGGCGCATGAACGCAAACTCGAACAACAGGAAAAAGTGTGGCAACAATTTGACAATTGGTGGACGGCCAGATTTCGATCACAAGGTTCCTGCTAATTCACGTACGTTAATATTTATTGGTTAATATTTATTGGTTAATTAGTTAATATTTATTGGTTAATTAGTTAATATTTATTGGTTAATAAGTTAATAGACCACTTACATCTTAGCTTTTTTTTATTTTATTTTTTTATGACTGAATTAATCTCTATAAATAGATATATAATAAGGAAACTAAACATAAATTAAACAGGAAACGAGAAAAACGAAGTATCGTGATTTTAATAATTTATCTTTAATATTTTTCCTCCTCAGTGGATGGGTTGAAGGACCACAATGATCACCAGTCCACGTGGGTAAATATAAACGTGGCGGGAGCCACTTTCATCTTAAAACGGGATCTACTCAGACAACACCCCAACACCCTGCTAGGTGTGTTAATACTTTATTCGTTTATCATTTCACTTATTTAATATTTGTATTTATAATACTTAAACATGAACGTTCTAGAATATTTTAGAATTTTCTAATTTTTAAACTCTGCCGCTTTTAAAATATAGTTTGACGTGGTTTTTAGCCAACTTCTAAAGTACTAACAGATATTCACGTGCCAGAGATCATTTTTCCAAATAAACTTTAATGCACATGACAGTTGCGATATAAGTTTCTTTCATATCCCAGATGGTAAGAAAGTCGCACCATAAGTCCCCCGCACTATTAATAAACCTGTCTAATCTAGAAAACCTAGACCAGCAACAAGTTACACAGTACGACATTAGCTAAAACATATAATGCTTTGAACCTTCTTTTTTTATATAACAGTCCGTGCTATTATTCTCATTATCGTACTGCAGTAAAACGTGTAACGGTAAACGCAAATATAAGGTTTAACAGAAACCTGCTAAGTGTGACACACGGCAAGAAGTCAGCTTAATAGATTTTCATGCCATTTTTGGATGCAATAGTAATGCTTTGGTCCGGATGGCGTGGTGTCAATTTCGTCAACATACACTGTGGGAGAAAGAGATAGATAATGTCCGTTATTATAAATATACACATACTGAGCACACCTCAGCTGATACCAAAGTTTTGCGCGCCTGTGGTAAATTGAATGCACGTGCAAAAGTAGCGACCACGCCAGGACTCGAACCTGGAATCTCCTGCTCCGTAGGCAGGCGCCTTAACCATTGGGCCACGCGGCCGATATGAAGGATTGAATCATTTTTCTCGATTTTCATGCATAGAATAGATTTAACTGCATGCAACCGAATCTTGCGGCTATTGTGTAAGTATGACAAACAAAAAAGCTTACAATCTGTCAAGTTTTTATTGAAATCAAATTAAGTTCATAGTAACAGATCGTAACCATAATATTAATTATAAATAAACTGTAAGTGTAACAACTGATTCAGTGATTGTTCATTGATGATCGCAATGATTAAAATTAGAATATTGCAAAGATTTGCTGGCTTATTAATTTCTTAAAAATTAATAGCACACCGCTAGTGTAAAATATGTATACCCGACAGGAGCAGAACATTTTCGGTCCAAATATCAGTCAGATAATTGGTATAGTTGGTTTATCATACAAGGTCGATCTGTTATTCAAAATATCTTATGATTAAGCGTTCCAATTATATGCTAATTACTACCATAAAATGGTAATCATTACGATGTGTCATGTGTCTGATCGGCAAAACTAATTTGCCTCGTTATTTAATGTTCATGTTCAGTGCAGCGATTCGCTATGTTAACTAATTCATCGTTATAATTAAAATATCATAGCAATTAGCATATTAACGATTAAAATAACATGATAGTAAGAACGTCAAAACGATCAAGCGTTCAGTAATTACACAATTGTACATTGTATATTATAAACTGACTGCAATCTGCATACTATACTGTAATTGGTTCGCAGTAAATCGTAACAGTTAGCATTTATCTGACTGGACACTTAAATGATGAAAAGCACATCAAGCATTCATGATGATTCATATAGGATATATTTCAGGTCTGCAAACAAAATTAAATTAAATAGCAATACCATGCTGTTTTCTTCCGCAAACTTGTAGCGGCATAAACTTTCAGTAACGCGCGGCAATCTTATACTTCCTTTTAATGATATAATGTACAATGTATAGTGTACGATGTACATGTCGCCAAAAATATGATAACAATAATGATAGGAACGAGCATTATAATAACTGGGATAACCATACTCTTATCTTTAAATGACATGAAAAAAAGCGACCACGCCAGGACTCGAACCTGGAATCTCCTGCTCCGTAGGCAGGCGCCTTAACCATTGGGCCACGCGGCCGACAATTGAAAGGAAATAATGTTATTATTATACTCTGCTAAAGTGTTTGTATTGCTATAATAGTTTCAACTGTCTGCGTCATGACAAGTTACTGTCTGACGTCTGTGTGTTCAGTTCATGTTCAGTTGTCCAATGTGTTAGTGTGACATGAAACCGGAGCTAATTTCTCAATTCTTTAGTCACTATCCAATTCACTTGTACAGGTTCTGTCCTCTGTTACTTGTAATGCCCTTATGGCTTACATACCTCTCTAATCTCTATAAATGTGGTGATAAGTCACGGAAACTAAATTATCTCAATTAAGTACCCAGTGTCCCCATCCATTAATCAATAATTTCCTACGCATACGTGAAACTCAGTCGTGAATCATCGATTAAGTCTATTTGACACACTTTTTTGTTCGTATCCAATAATTTCTTTGCCATTCTGCTCGCCCAAAGGCCGAATGCCAAACAATTATCGTAATTTCATTTAATTTTTGATAAGTTCGTGTTTGTTCATCATCCTTAAACTTCATGTTTACAAAAAGATACATTAAACATTTTTAAAAGGCAGTAGAACAGTCTTTAGACTATCTAAGAATCACATCCCATTTCAGGTTCAGATAATATAAAGCGATACTACCGACAAGACCTATCAGCTTATTATTTTGACAGAAACAGAGAGGCTTTCGACGCTATTGTCAGTTACTATTTATCAGGTATTAGAGTTACTATTGTCAGTTACTGTTTATCAGGTATTAGACATTATAATCAGAGTGTTACTTCCTGATATTTGATGAACTAACCATATTGAAACTAACTCAAAGTTTCGTCTAACATAAATGCATATCCATTCTACATCGAGGAGAATTTAAGCTTACCGCCTTGTGTTAGTTCATTCGATTCTATAACTCAATAACAGGCGTAAATTGAACTTCTAAGTACTCAAGTTTAGCTCGCTGTAGTACAGACTACAGAGACCAATTTTAGCTCCTTATTAGCTCCCTGGAGAGTTGATCAAAGGTTCCTAAAAAGGACAGCATTAGCTCCTTATTAGCTCCTTATTAGCTCCTTATTAGCTCCTTATTAGCTCTTTATTAGCTCCTTATTAGCTCCTTATTAGCTCCTTATTAGCTCCTTATTAGCTCCTTATTAGCCCCCCTATTAGCTCCTTATTAGCTCCTTATTAGCTTCTTATTAGCTCCTTATTAGCTCCTTATTAGCTCCTTATTAGCTCCTTATTAGCTCCTTATTAGCTCCTTATTAGCTCCTTATTAGCTCCTTATTAGCTCCTTATTAGCTCCTTATTAGCTCCTTATTAGCTTCTTATTAGCTCCTTATTAGCTCCTTATTAGCTCCTTATTAGCTCCTTATTAGCTCCTTATATAGGACAGTTTTAGATAACAGCCGTTATTTCCAGATGGACAGATCCCCTACTTATGTGACACGTTAGACGAAGGTTTGGTGACGCGGGAGTTTGAGTACTTCAAGATACCACTTACCCCCCGGGAATTTGAACCAGTTCCCTCCCCAGCTGTTGAGGAAATCAGGTACAGAGGCCAGTGCAAGGAAATACATTGTGCTAGTTTTATAATGTGTTCAGAATATTTAGACTTGAAGTTTAAGTCATTATTAAGAAAAATAGCAAAATTGCCAGGTATAATAAAGTACGTTTTCAGAGATAACACAAGTTTAGGGCAATGGAAAGCGAAGATTGATAGTCTTATAAACGTGCCAGAGTCATCACGATGTGCTTCACTTTATGCAATCATAGATTGCTTCTTTATCTTAGTCTCTATATCTTTTTTAGGTTGGTAAGAATTTTCTGCTGAGTGCTGAAGACGTCGTATATTTCCCACTCTTTACACGTTGATTAGCAGAACTTAACGTGCCATCAATAACTATCTACAATTAACAATTGTTGTCAATTAATTATTAAATACATGATTTATGTAATTGTGTAATTACATAAATTTAACCCTCGCATTTATTTCAGTTCTCGAAACAGAAGGAAAAGTAAAAGACTATTTCATAAACCCTCAGAACAAATATTACTACCATCTATTTGGTATTAATGCCTTTATCATGGCATTCTTTACTGCAGATTATATGGCACGATTGTGGTCAGCGCAGAGTAAAAATGCATTTTTAAAGTTAGTGAAACCTTTCAATCCTTAGTTTATACTAATTATGATTTTTAAGGTCTCACTTCAATGATGGCTATCCTTTTTTTCATTGAATATTTCCTTATAAAAGGTCTAAATATATTCTAAAATATTGTATTTATTCAGGCAGATATTACCCTGGATGGATCTATTATCAATACTACCGTTTTACATGGAATTAGCTATAATGGCATACCATGGGCCACAGGTATGTACTATTTAACTCATTTACTTAATCATCAGAGCTAATAAACACTGAACAGTCATTGACACGATTAGATAAACTTGGAATCAGTGGATTCCAGCAGACTCCAACTATTGGTAATACTAAGCAGTCTGAGTCAACGTTTGAGCCACCAAATAAATGAACACAACCTGTGATTCACTGGTTCTAATGTACAATACCTCCCGCAATAAGGATACAATTACGTGTGCCTCTTTAGCAGTGATATGACTGTATAGCACAACCCCGAAAATCTGGCCCTCTGAATTTCTGGCCCTCTGAATTTCCAGCTTTAAGTTTTATTTCCATTAGTAATTAGTAGTAATTAGTAGTAATTAGCCATTAGTAGCTCGTTGCAATTTAGAGCTTTTAGTGGCAAGATTTTCGTGGTCGTGCTTTAAGCTGTGATGTTTAACTAAGAGCAGATAAGCCCAAACATGTGCCGTGAAGTTTCTAATATCTACTGGACTTATTAAGTGTACATCAGAACCTCGATTTACCGGGATTTTCAAAAAGGCGGATGAAATACTCCACAAATTTGGTCTCCTCCAAGAATCACGATAAATCAGGGTATTGTTGTACACTTTAATAAACAACAGAATCTTCTTGACGTAATCAAATTGAATGTTTCCTTAACAAACTGAATGTTATCTTTAAAACATTTCACGTGTTAACTAGGATTTGGATACTGTTGGGGAGGTGAATTTTTTGCCCATCAGCATACGGCACATTAACTAATAAAATGTAAAATCACTTCAACGTGTTAAGCATTAATGGTTAGTCTCCCACAGTATCCAGATCTATAGAATCTTTTCATTCAATTGCACTTAGTAAATCTCGTGTAATCACGTGTTAGTAAACCTTGTCACGTGTTATTATGTGTTAGCGCGCGTTATCACGTGTTAATGCGCGTTATCATGTGTTAATGCGCATTATCACGCGTTAGTGCGCGTTATCACGTGTTATTACGCGTTATCACGTGTTAGTGCGCGTTATCACGTGTTATTACGTGTTATCACGTGTTAGTGCGCGTTATTACGTGTTATCTAGAATGATGTTTTCATTACCTTGTAGGGCTTAGTAGCTGCACAGGGCTTAGTAAGTAAATATCTGATTGTTACAATGTGTCTTACTCTTTTTAGTCTTGTCTCGTTACAGATCAGGGACCATCTGGGTGCGGTGTAAATTATTCGCATATTTTCTCATTTTAATTGCTTAGTTGCAGATAGAAATGCAGAAAACATACGGAAAGTTGTGCGATTTTGCACCCACCGTACTCAAATGGTACTTCTGTCTTGTCATGATGATATGTTTCTTATCCAGCATTATGAACATGGCATTTGTATTGTGTATATTATGCAAGTTATGCATATTATGCACATGCATTTCCAGTTCATAAACTATTTCAGTTTGCATTAATTGTAGATGGAGCATGTTATTGTTTATCAGTATAATTGGTCCTTTCATTAGAACCATGATACCATGAAATGTGATCATTTCAAGAGAAGTTCGTTTGCGGCATCCAAATATTTCAAATAGGTATCACAACTCCTGCATGTCACTGTTATCAAAGCAGTAACTGTTTATTTTAATGTACATTTATTATAAATGTGTCCTGTTGATTTGTAACTTAATAAGTGCCGGGTAAAATAATTTAAAATTATTGTATCGTCCACACGCCAATAAGTCCCTAAAACTAGAAGATAAGGTTATATTTATAATAATTTTGATCTCCAAAACTAAATTCTTTTAAGCTTTTCTGGAAGATTTTTGGTGGTAAGAAAATAAGAGTAACAAATATATTTATGTTTGTATATCATTTTCGTATTTTCCCTACGATAAATCAAAGTTCATTACATTTTACTATTGAAAAACTTGTGAGTTCGATCTTTCAGCAAACAATAAATAATCATGCATGCAACGTATTCAATCAATTAACTAAATCATATAATAATTTGCTCAATTAGTTGAATTAATGCACTTTAAATTAATTTCCAAACAACTGACAGGGATTGCATATCGGTTTAAACACTAAAGTAAGTAGCGTGGTAAGACCCGCTGAAATGTGAAAAGTGAATTTAAATTTAATAATCATCTCATTATTCATCACCCAACTCATGTTGTTACCATGGCAATGCACGTGACAACTGACACGTGACGCACGTGAGACGTCACGTGTTAAAGCAAATGATGCTTTTACCAGAAGTAAACATCCAATCATATCTGCATTCAAATTCCGATCATTGCAACACCGGTAACCGGTGATCAGTTTTGAAGAATTACTAGCAACTCCAAGGCTGATAATCGTTATGGGTAATCGATTATTCTCAACCAACTTATGTAATCTTCTATATCTGCTTATCTGGGCAATCAACAGATTTTAAATAAGTGAAGATTAGTATTCTTGGTATAGTCACCAAATTCCAAATGCGTTGCGCATTTGGCACCAATCTACTGATAACGTTTGCCGAAAAGATTAAACAAAATATGCAACTACAAGCTATTAGCCGATTTCTTAACCATTAATTATTCTCCAAACGAACTTTTACCTCTTCTCAATGTCATTCCATACACTTAACTGTTTAAAATCAATCGATTTGTTTATGTTGATTGTTGTTGTATTGTGTTGGAGCACAAAATTATGATGATTTCTCATCGATATTTTAGTCGCCATGGCGATTTTTGCCTCGTATTGATTTGCATGGTGATTTTTATCACTAGATGATTATTGATCATTTTGATTTTATAAATGTTTTTGGTGCATGGTTTGGAGCAATTTTTCACGATTTTTAAATAAGTATGCTTTACAATTACCGTAAAGGTAATTTACAGTTTCAATGATTGATTCAATTTCCTTTTTAAAAAATGATAGTTTCTTGATCCGTCATTCCATCACTCCATCTTGGCATTCATTTTCTCTCATTCATCTTCATTTAATCTCTCTAAACTATTTTACTTTATTGATTAAGAGAGAATTATTCTTATACATAAGTCATGTCATAAAGTAAATTATTTCTTATGCTTTTTCCACTGATGGCTTCACTTTACTAATTAAATTATATCATTAACAACTAATAAATTACCAAATCTGCAAAATCTGCGCTGACGTCACAATTATTTAGCTTTACATATTCCTTTTTTCTTTTTTTCCTTTCTTCTTTTTCCTTTCTTTTTTTTTTAATTCCGTGTCCATTTCACTCCATCTTTCTTCAAGTACACCTTTCACCCACAGGTACACCTCAGCTTCACTGTCAAATTATATTCCTCACTTATTTGTATCATCATGTTAACCTTTAATTTCCCCTCCATTTCTCCATTTCACCCCTCAGGTGAACCTCACGCCCACTTTCAACACACCTCTGGTTTGATATCCTCCTAATAAGGTGTATCTCAGGAGGCCGCAGCGGGGTCGGCGGAGCAGCAGGGCTCAGGGGGATGGTATGTGGTTCTCAGAGTCTGTAGGGTTTTCAGAGTCATACGAGTCTTCAAACTTGTGAGTACTTTAGCACTGTACTAAACAGACTACTTTAGTGTAAACTAGCAAATTACTTAAAGTAGAGTGTTAGAGCGCAGACGTCCTTAAAATAGTATAGATTTATACCTTACGAGACAGATTTATGTTCGACATAATTCCGGTGACCTAAATGATTTGGGAACGAAAATATGGGAATTTTTTCCGAAAACCGCCACATTTCGAACCCCAAATTGAATCATGGTATTTGGGGATTGTTTCATCTCATTATTTATAAAACTGAAACCCAATATTTGAGAAAATTAAATACAAAGATCTTCTCTCATAAGCTGTTTCATCTTGTAAACAATTTCATCTTTGAAATTTAGCCTCAACATAACTTATAATCCTCCAGAGGATATATAATAGGAGACCGACAGTGTTTGTTAATGTTATCTTCCACTACTCCCGAAATTTCACCGCCGTGGCCAATAAAGTAGTGACAGAGCTTGCCTATTTTTAATGGAACGTGTGCAAAATCATTTTTAAAGCTATTCATGATCGAATACTACTGTTCATTAATTGTTTGATGAATCATATTTATAACTTACTTTATTGATAAGTTGATTGTTAATCGATAAAGTCATAATTAAGGAAAATAGTCCGAATATATGGTGGTTTTTTTTTCGAAAAACCACCGACTTTCGTACCATTTAAATATGTCTCGTACGGTAGATCATAACATACCTTGTTTTTAGGCGAGACGGTCAGAAAATTTACTAATTCTACTAAAAGCAGTTGGGAACACCAGTACAGAACTGTTCGTCCTATTCGTAATGGTAAGTAATGGTGATGACACGTGATAATGCGCGCTAACACGTGATAGTTCAGTTTTTTATAATCGAAACATATTACCTTTATAAATTAACATTTCACCTTGAAGTAATTTCAACCAGCCATTCACCTAAACTTTAAACTTCAATTTTGGATTACTAAACGTTGCTAAAAAAGTAAGTTTGTTCCAAATCGAGAGATACTACTTTTAACCATTTCAACCAACCAATTACTCGAATTTATAGCATTAATCTGTAATACAGCAAAACGTTATCTTCAGGTATTTATGGTAGTATTAATGTTTGGAAGTATAATGTACACGGTGGAGAAGACCACTAGTGTAAACGGTACAACTAAGTTCACCTCTATAATGTCTGGTTGTTGGTGGAGTGTAATCACCGTCACCACTGTCGGGTATGTTTATTAAGTTATTAATTAACTAGTTGATTTACTTAATTAGCTAATTAAGTTAATTTATTTATTTATTTAATTAGTTAATTTATTTAATCAGTTAATTTACTGGATTATTTAATTTACTGAATTATTTAATTATGGATTGTCGTTTTATAAGTCGATTTGGTTAATTTGTTAATCAACTAGAGTTTGTTGATTCAATTATTTAACCATTTCTGAATTAATTAGCTAATTGTTTAAATTTATTTATGTTGATCATTCCAATCACCAATTAGTTATATTTATAAGTTTATTATATGTACTGGATGATTTTCCCTAATAATTTTGAATGTAATTTTGAATTCACAATTCAGCTCCTATCCAATACTCGATCAGTTAGACAAAGAGCCAAATAGTTTATTTACTAGTTGATCATAATATCTTTCTAAATTTTCTAAAATAGTAAAATAGACAATTGGCCACTTTGCTACAGTGTAATCTATGACGACTAACTGATTTAAAGTTCAATTTGACTTTATTCTTTACACCAAAGTGTTCCGTTTAAAGTTTTATGTTTGACTGAAATTGGCTGCTACACCACTATAAGTTACTCTTTTTCTGCAGGCCGTATTTTGGCGCATCAAAATCTAAAGATCTTATCTCTGCTTTGACTTTCTTATTAGGAGCAATGAAACTTTCACCATGTCATAAACAAGTGCTTTAACCCAAAATTCTACGAGCATGGGTACAAGTGATTGGTGTGTAGAATGCATTGTGAGATTTTGTCGACAGTCTCAGACTTTTCTGAGAAGACTGAACATTACTCCTGGAGGTGTTAACCGTAAGGCACCACCATCTAATTCTCATGAAAATAGGGCAGCTCAGAAAAAGGGAACTCGATCAGTGCGTGAATGGTGGTGCTTGATATTGAGAATGAGAAAAATAAAATCATGATGTTTAAGTGTTTGCTGAGAATTTTAAGAAGAATTTTAGCTAAAACTCTAAAATTCCAAATAACACCATACAACTAGGTCTCACAAATTCATGACGTCACACCACGTGATGTGACGTCAGACCACGTGACGTCTCTCACACCACGTGATGTAATGCTAGTGCACTAGACCCTGAATTTCACCACTAGGTACGGCGACATGTACCCGGAGACGCCACTGGGTATGGTGTTGGGGACGGTGGCCCTCATGCTGGGTTTAGTACTGATGGCCCTACCCGTCACCATCATTGTCGCCAAATTCTCGGACGAGTACGAACGCAGCAAGACCTAACCTAGCGTACGTGTAGACAAGACGGCAGCGCGCGCCTCGTGTTGCTACCATGGCAACGCACGTGACACAACGCACGTGACGTTATCTCAGAGCACGCTGCACGCTTGTGCACGCTCCTGCACGCTTGTGCACGCTCCTGCAGTTTTTTTAATACAGCATTTTTCCGGGAATTATAGTTCCAAGTAAAATCACCTCTTGAATCTGATAGGACCAGAAAAAGGTACAACTTATGAATAATATGCATAATAAGCAGCTCGACTTTGATTTAAAGTCATGTGAATTGATAATATAGACTTTAAAAATGTGGGGTTCGTAGTACAACGGGGTGATTTTGCTTGGAAGAGCTCAAACAAAGTGTATCTGTTTGGATGCTTTTCTGTGCACACAGTCTGATTGTTACAATATTACACACATACACACATGTTCACGGGACCGACTTCCCAAAAAAACGGTTTCGCTCGTTATAAAAGAAAATCGCGCACTTTCGCTGCTGAGCCTGATAGCCTATGACACGCTTTTTCATTAAAATTTCAGGAAATTGTTCCAAATGAAAGAAAGAATAATTGCTTTCTTCGTCATTTGTATCTTTTTAGTCTTCATTTAATCTTGCTGATCGCTGTTTCATTTGATAGGCATCAAAAGTCAAATTGGCTTCAGATTTTGCATTATAGGTTTTCAAATTATACGAACAACGAAGCCCGATTTTTGTTGGCAGCATATAATTAGGCATTATAACTTTTTAATACGAAAAATCTATTAGTTTTAATCACGGGATATCAATTACAATTCTTTAACTCAGTAATTTTCTTTGGGTAGTCTTGAAATAAATATTGATTCATTTGGGGATATATTATACATTATAAAATCAAACTTTTAATCTCAATGCTTTGATGTTGTTAGAATATATTTACCAAAATCAATCATTCTGTTATGCTATGCAAAATTTGAGAGGGTTTTAAATGATTCAAGTTTGTTAATGTTATGAGTGTTATCGTAATTCACTTCACAATTACTAACAATATCGTGTTTAAATCGGGATTTCGTGTTTTATGATTAAAACCCCTTGTTAGTCAATTATTTTATTCCCTCACATCATCAACAGTGTCTAATTTATACGTCGAATGCTCCTTTATAATACTTTCTCTTTTTCACCACTCCCCACCTGCCACCATTTACTCTCTTATTGTATTTCTACCGCCATTCTACCTGCCCCACCCTCTACCTGTACCCCCCTCTGTCTGCCTCCCTTCTAACTCCATCCACCCTCAGGTACGGAGACATGTTTCCGGAGTCCTCTCTGGGGATGGTGTTCGGAACACTGGCCCTCTTAGCAGGTCTCATAGTCCTAGCTCTCCCTGTTACAGTCATCGTAGCTAAATTCTCGGATGAGTACGAGAAGTCTAAGATGGAAAAGAGATCAAAAGATCGGTACAGATAACGTTTTGGTGCGTGGTGTGACGTCATGTCACGTTGTGTGACGTCATTTCACCTGGTGTGACATTATGTCACGTGGTATGACTTCACTTTACGTCAGCGTGATGTCACATCGCACATCCTCGTGGGTCGGAACAGATTTAACTTGTGCTGTACAAGAATCAAAAATAAGACTGTGCAGATTTGATGGATTCATTTAAGGTTTTCTTCAAATCAGTGGTAGGTGTAGAATAATGTGAGCGCAACATTTCGTTTGTCTGGAACAGTTCAGAAAGTCCACTAAATGTCAACTTCATAGTAAGCTCATAATTGTAATACAATGGTATATTACAATTGTAATTGTAATGGATATTGAACTTTGCAGGAATCAAAACAATTAATAAATATTCATCACTTTGCTGTTTAAGGGATATGAAAGTTCATGTGTTGCATTCCTTATGTTACCTGATTTAGAAGTTACTCGTTTTATTTTGTTCATCATTCACTGTTAATTGTAATATTAATAGCTAGTAGTGTATAGTGTATCCACTATCTGGACGTACTGCAGTGGCGTAACTTACGTAAGTGCACTCCCAGTTCCCACCCACCTCTCATTGCCATCTCGCCACCCCTATGCTCCAAAATGCTGCCCTCTTACAATGCCGCTCATAATTTGAAGTTGTTTTTGAAACGTGTGGTAAAACCTTAAACCATGCTGCTAAAATCTCTAAAATAATTAAATTATTAAATATAACCTACGCACTTTTGCTATCACTTTCATCGATCAGATAAAAATTGACGAGACTAAGAAATGTGCGTGTTGTGTACTCAGTACTATAAATATCCGAATACTATTACTATAAGTATCCGATTTAATCGCAACTTAATCATTAATACACAATAAAAGTTGTACTTGCCCATTGTTAATGGTTGACATACGTTGCATGCCACTTTTCGCGCGCGAAACATGTATCAAGCTATTTGTTGACCATCTGCCTTCACTGAAGTATGTTTTTAGAGAGTGGAGGCCGACCGTCAGCTTGGGATGCAGGGCCAAGTGGTAAACAACGTCAAGGCCCCCTTCCACATGGACCATGTTTGTTTTGGCAGATACTGTGGTAATAAGATATGAAGTGAATGAGTGAAATGAAGTGAGTGAAAAGGGTGGTAAAAGAGGAAGAGCTTGTAAGGTAGTTTAGGAATGGAAGGAAGCAGGGCATGTACTACAAAAAACAGCTAGTAGTACTGTAAGATAGTAACAATAACCATTGATAATTAAGTAACAAAGACATCAATATAAATGGGGTGGACAATTTGCCCTTATCGGCCAAGATCGACAGAATAGAACTTTTGTGACCTATTTTGTCTCCTGTAAGTGAAAGTTTAAGAAGTTTCATATACCCCTGCCAGATCGGCATGTCCCCTGCCTGAAATCTTTTGCTAATGTACCATTTGGCAACAATATTAAAGATAACCTAGATAACCTTAACAATAAAAGCTGAACTCAACACATAACAGAGTATATGAACTTACACTTAAATGTTTGTAACATGCTGAGAATGAGATCAGAGATGCGTCTCGTTGCCGGTTCTAATTTCTGAAACATGAACAACTAAAACAAATATTAACCATTTTTATTACGGGTTACCTGGGGACCCCAGGCTATTATATTTATGTTCATAATCATAGAGATTCGGCGGAAAGACAAGCTGAGCGCCGCCCAGTAAGATTATGGATTACGGGTACCATCCGTTGATGGGTATAATACTCTGATCGTCCCGGTCTGGAACCCCAGCAAAATCACCGATATAGAAGCAATTGAAAATGTTCAGAGGAACTACACTCGCCGTATCTTAGGTTGTCAACAATTGGACTATTGGGACCGTCTTAAGAAGCTGGACCTGCTCTCCCTGCAGAGGCGGAGAGAGCGATACATCCTGATCCATACATGGAAGATGGCAAACGACCTTGCTCCAAATGACATCAACATGGTATTCAAGGAAAACGCTCGACATGGCATAAAAGCCATAATCCTACCACTGAACAACAAATCGCAACGATCAATGGCCACTCATTACGAGAATTCCTTTGCAGTGAATGCAGCGAGACTATGGAACCTCCTCCCACGACAAGTGAACAGTTTAACTGCTCTAGGACTCTTCAAGGTATCACTTGCTCGATTTTTGGAGACTCTTCCCGATACCCCGCCAACCAAAGGATACACCGCCATCACCAACAACTCACTCCTGGAATGGAATCTACAGAAAGATCTGAACCAGGAATGAATGGAGGACGTACTATGTACTAGTTACTGTTGTCCAGAAGCACTCTCTGCCAAACCAACCTAAAGTACCTAAAGTAAGTAAGTCCACGGTAAATCTGATTTCAATGCCAAACTTGCTGTTTGCTCTTTTATATACGGACGAGACATTTCCAACCTTGGTACTAATATTATGAGTCTTCTCACCCTGGTCCCCTTTACTGTAATCACCGTGATTAACATAGTCCCGTGGGCCTATGTGGGTACGTATTTTAAGTCAAATACGGACACTCCACTCAGACCACCACAGCCCTGGTCACAACCGCGGCGGTTACAGGTCTCTTCTGGGTGATGTGGAGTCCTACTGTGGTACGGTTCCACCTCTCTGTTATAAAAGGGGAAGACTGGATACCGGCATGGCTGGAAAAAATGCGGTATCTCTACATGTTGGGAGCGTACTTAAACCCGCTTATCTATACCTTGACATTTTTTCATCGCCTCAATCAATTTTTAAAAGTATATGATGCAATACCCGGGGCTGCAGCAGTAGCCGCAACAGCAACTGCAGACACCACGATAAAAATTTATTAAATACAGAATAAATGTTTATTAATCCACGAATCAACGCTCGCGGATCGCGCTTTCTCGCAAATCAACGCTCTCTTACTGATCAGGATTTTATTTTTAGTGCTTAGTCTTACAAATTTATTTTTCGATACAGCATCAAACATGGAATAATTGATATTGATCAAATTATATTATTTTGCTGGTTTCTTAAAAATAATATCTTCAAGAACGCGAGCGTTGATTCGTGTATTTATTCGGTATTTAATAAACTATCTTAGATATAGGGCAGTCGAGTTTTCTTCTTCTTTCTTTCAACGTTGGACAGCTGCACTCGTGCATACCGAATTTTTTGGCAGTCCTTGAAAATTAGTGCCATGACAAGAAGGAGCCATTTAATGATAGGTATATTAATTCAAGTTTTCATCCTTGACCTCGTCCTCGGCTCCAATGACCCACGAGAACCCTTGTCTAAAGAAAAGGTAATTATAACCAAGGCTGTGTACGAAATTCAACCTCTCTACTCGATACTACGTGCAGATTTTCCGATAAAAAAAATATGCAGAGATGAAGTTGACGATTTCCTTCTTCGGAATGAGACCTCATTTACATACAATAGACCATTTTATAACAAAAAAATGAAGAAAAGGGACAGATTACTTCTATCGCCTGAAGACATTTATGCTTGTCCCATGTCGATGCACGGATATCCAGTATTGGACACAACAAATTGGACGTGTTTGATCCCTGTAGAAAAAGTCTGTGATGGTTTCTCTAGTTGCCTAACTGACGAGTGTGGTTGCGGAGAGGAGACTACCGAGCAGTCAGTAACCCAGACTCCGGTCTTCTACTGTGCTCAACAGCCTGGATGTGTCTCATTTCCACAGGTAACAAAAACATAAGACAATATTTTTCTTTATCAATACAATAGTGCGAATGATCACTAATGGCGACATTCCCATATATATGGATGATGATTAATCACTCTACACTCGACTGTCACGTGACTTTTTCAACCCGTTCTCCAGCTGGTTCTGAACGAGTTTTCGAAACCCTAACCCTCTAATCTGATCCCAACCCTAACCCTAACCCAATCCTTAACAAAAACATATGCTGAAACCCTAACCCTAACGAGAAATAAGACTAACTTCCTTATACGGTCATATCACGTGATCGAGACAGTATTTCGCCAATATCTCGTCAGGGGAGCATTTTAACCCTATGTCATGTGGGGTGATTCGGAATCAGCGTCCGAAAATACATCGATTGAAGTTGGTTACAACCGTCGGGGGCCCTTTTAGAACAATCTCGAAGATCGACTGTAGAGTGATTTAGCACGCTCGCATATATATACATATCACCGGAGACTCGCGGGCGGAACAAAATATTGCACGCGCACGCGCGTGCAATATTTCATATGTCCCCGAGGGCGCTAGCCCGAGGAGGACATATTTTCGTATAGCACGGAGGGCCCATCGGGCCCGAGTGCTATACGATTTTTCCGCCCGCGGGTCGAGGTGATGTGGATTATATCCACCAGCGGGCGTATTACAGTTAATATATAATTTTATAAATAAACAATGGAGCTTGTATAAAAGTCAACTCTAGAAAAGGTCGCCACTAATTGTTGTAACCATGGTAACACGTCACGTGTTCAATGTAAGCCAATCATAAAGGGCTGTGTCGTATATAGGGGCTGGAGATGCACTGCATTCCTGGGCCGTGGGAATAATGAATGTAATGTCAGTGACGATGAATATCAATAATATAGGGGGATTATAGTGCTGATGTGTATTATGTAGTGTGGTATAATAACTTTGATATAAATCAAAGTATCATGTCATCTGCTCACGAGCTGCATGAGCAGCCCTACCGGACACAAAAATAAAATGTATATATAGTCAGTGTAATAAGGAATTTCACATGGAGACGATACTCATACAGAAACTGAAAATATTTTAGAGAACTCCGGGCTATATTGCTACTGGTCAAATTAAATGTCACTTGTTAGCGGGCTATATCATGAGCGGGCTGTATAGTAGAGATATCGGGCCCTTTGACAGCGGGCTGGCGAGAGCCCGCTATGCGAAAAAGCGCACGCTGGTGGATATAATTATATATAGCGGGCTCTCACCAGCCCGCTGTCACAGGGCCCGATATCTCTACAGCCCGCTCATGATATAGCCCGCTAACAAGTGACATTTAATTTGACCAGTAGCAATATAGTTCTTTAAAATATTTTCATAGCACGGAGATATGTATATTTTATTTTTGTGTCTGGTAGGGCTGCTCATGCAGCTCGTGAGCAGATGACATGATACTTTGATTTATATCAAAGTTATTATAACACACTACATACAATACACATCAGCACTATAATAATCCCCCTATTATTGATATTCATCGTCACTGACATTACATTCATTATTCTCACGGCCCAGGAATCAGGCTTGTCCGCCGCCGCCGAACGCCGCCGCCGCCGGGTGATTTTGCCACGCCGAACGCCGCCGATACACCCCGGCGTACATCGGCGTATGGCGTGCATTTTCTGACTTCAAAATAATTCTGTCTTCATTTGAAGATAGAGTTACTGATAGCGATTAGCGGCTAGGGGCAACACACACATGATACACACCTTTAGCTAACTT